CGGTCGTGTGTACAGACCTCACTGCGTTCAGTCTGTACTCACGACCTCGGTCAAGATTCTCCCATACAGACCTCCTGCTCGGTCAATAAGAGCTAAATAATAATATTAGTAGTAAAAATAACTTTTTTGTTATTTGCAAGTTACACTGAAGATTGGTTGCATCAAAAAGTATTCAACCAGCAACATTACTCCTATCAGTTGGGATTTGCAACTTTGTTATACTTATTTGAAGTATAAGTGTTTTTCTTGCTTGATGTGCGTGCCTGCAAACTACAATCTATAACAAGTTGTCGTTAAAATCTTGTTTAACCTTATCTCCCTTCTTCTCTTTCATATTACTGCACCTCTCAATAACACTTTGCTTAACGGTTTCGTGTTCCGCTGTCGTCACATGATCATGTTGACAGACTTCTCAGGAAACAGAAGTTTACTATAACAGGTCACGCCTGTGGGTTGCGACAAGTTGATTTCGAACTATATTGTTCGTTTTCTTTTCTCAAGGTTCGTAGGTTATCGTCCAAATTTGGAACTTCAGAGTTAGCGTGTTATTTAAAGGTGCAGTGGTGTTGTTTAGAAAAAAGCACTGAACAAAGAGTGCGAGCTCTTTCTAAGCCATTTAAACATCATGCTCAGCATGACGATAGAGCTGATATATATTTTCATACCTTGAAGTTAGCTATGAAGTCAATGAAGGTTTTGAAGAACTCCGAAGGTTCAACCACCCGTGGGTTTTCGCCAAACAGAGTGCACACCTGCGCATAAACCTCTTCCATTTTACGGTAACGTTCAGTGATGCGTTGGACTTTCTTGAAAGCAGCGTTATAGAACGTCTGAAGCACGTCAAGGATCAACATATAACGCAATACTTATTTACCTTCGCCTAACGAAAATACTTGCATACCTCTGAGTGGCAAGCGTCAAAAAAGGTGGTTACTCAGGAACATTCAACTGGACACATCAAATGATGTGCCAAATTAGGCTCGCTGTAATTTAACCAAATACACGAAGCACCGATCATGTCAGCGTACTGGATTCACGTAACCGTTATGGAGCTTTGAAATCGTGCTCAAAAGTATTCCCCCTTAAGAAAAATACAGTACCCTGAATTGGCTCACAGAACTAAATGACTTCGTAACTAATTGTTTAAGGGAAGTAACAAAAGGATACAAAAATGATGAAGTTATCTGGCTGTTTGTCTCTCTCAGACTTTGTCAAGTCCAGGCCTTTCCGTAAACCCTGCACATCAGCTGCCAATGTCTGCATGGAAACTAATACAGAATACACAATAACTGTTACTGGTCACTGAAAACACATATTCTAGTGGATAGAGGGAGTTTAGAGAGTTTAGCGCCATGGAGTCAGATAATTCACGGATGGTACAACTTGTAAATTTAGCCCAAATTTTTCAAGTTCGCGTTTTGTTTTCTGTCTCGGTTTCCTACAGCGATGGCTAATTATGCGTATTCCTTTTTTATTCATTGACGCATTCTTGGTGTATTTCTACCTTAGCAAAATATTTATTTCAGTTTTCGCGTTATCCGAAATTTTGTACATTACCAGTCTGTTACTCATAGTTATGCTTCATATACTTCGTTTCCAGCGTCTTGCTTCTCCCCACTCCACTCTCTGTCTAGTGGGCGGGGAGAAGAGACACCCTGGGAACGAGGTTGATACGTCGTTAAGTTAAGTTTCGAACGATCATTGTTTGCAACCAAAAACATCCTAAACTGCTAGGCAGTGTACAAACATTTCTAAGGGCAGCCGTTGAAGTTTCAGTCAAATGACGAATGAAAGTGAAGGTTAAAATTATATCGAAGAAAGTAAGTAAAAAAATAAGTAACTTAATTCAAGTGTCAGGCTAAAATAGCAGTAATAAAACCACTAAATGGGGACACGAACATAAAAGATTAAAATAATAACATCCAATATTATGTTTAATCAAAGATATTTACAATAAACTGAGAGACAATATGTCGACTGATGGAATGTTCACCTGTAGTTGCTCCGTCAAGATACAGTTCCTCAGAGAAGTCCTGAAGATCCGGAAACTTTTTCTGCACAACTTCCACGATATAACCAAGGAATGTTGTTTTTCTGTCCGTTGTCCGAGTGTCCTCCAACTGAAAATTAAAAAATTGTGCGTTCTAAGCTGCGGTTCTCAGATGAAACGAAAGGACAGATGTAGAACATTTTACTCTGCTTGATTCCTTTTGTAATTCAGAATAAGATGTTATTCTTTGTCCCATCGCGGAATGTTACTTTTTCGTTTGTGCTAATTTTCTTCATTTCGTCCTATTTCCCCCCAATTTAAGTCAAGAAAATGATAAATGAAGTTTCTTTCTTACTTTCGCCCACACTTCGCTTAGGATCGAAAGGGTTTTAAGAATTAGAGTTGGTAAGGCTTAAATGAAGTAACAACTGTCTTCCAAGAAATCTACACATACTATTTGTGCAATCAGAGAGTATTACGTCACGTCGATACATGATGTTGCTTAGTAACAACCTGGGGCTCAGTCAATTCAACTGTTCCCAAGACTGGCTTCAAAACCAGTTTAAACTCAAGTATTGTCTCACCTTGCCTAAAGATTCCAATTTGAAGCCGTGGGCAAGTCCTCTTCTGCTGCTATTCATGTAGTTCCCATATATGAGTATAATCTAAATGTATCGGAGAGCAGTGTTAGAAACGCTGCCACCTAAAAATGGTATTACATATGACTTGCGTGTAAGGTAAAGCCAGTTAAAACCATCTGTTTCATTTTGCAACAAGAAACAATGCGCCTTTACAGGGCGTGGACTTAAAAGTATTACCTTAAATAATTTTCTTAATTTCCCACTGTTGACAATGGAAGTAGCCGCTCTCAAAACAGCATCCACTTGCTGAGAAGGAATCAACAAAATAAAATCATGAGCCCAGGATGAGTTTTATTCCACAAGCATAATGCACGCCGAGCAAGGAATAAATAAATACCATACAACGAAATGGAATGGAATGCAGCGAAATGCAATGCATTGCATTACATTGCATTGTGATACAACCCAACACAACACAGACCTTTATTTATTTGTCATTCTACTAGCTGGCTACAGGGGGCCTAAGTATTGTGCATACCTAAGACTTAATGCATACTCATATAAAATGACAGTTCAGTGCGGAGTAGTATTGTTGCGGTGTTAGTAGTTGCTGCGTGAATTCTAATACCCGCTAGTCTCCAGACCGTTGTGTTTCATCCTGGACAAGCGCAAATACTTCTGAAAGGAAGGCACTTATCTAATGATAATCAAACAACAACACGAAAGGAAAACACTTACTGGTACAACAGTTCTCATAAGTTCATCAAAAACACCAATAAACGCCATGACACTGAGTTTTGCCTCGTACCGCTCCACTTTAGCAATCTATGAAGAGAAAAACAGCGTGCTCAACAAAAGCTGGGTTTACTACAGAGCAACTTTCGTCCCACAGGCTGTGTAGACGAGATGGGAGTTCGCGACACTTTCATTCACTACCTTCTTACCTCAAACAGAAACTGTTCAGCTTCAGCCAGCTTGGAATACTGATCAGCGTGTTGCGCCAGTCCTGCCAACTGAAGTCAAACAGCAAACAGAGCATAAGACAAGAAAAAATCTAAACAACACGAGTCCTCACTCACTGCTGGCCCAGTTACGAACGTTCTTTCTATATCCTTTAAGGGCATTTCTAATCATTTTCCACCAATGCCAGTAGTGATTGTTTTAAAATCAGACCTCCACTGTGCTTGCTGTAACTATGACGCACTATCGCGAACGTTATTCTCAATAGTGTCCCCAAAATTTCTTACTAGCAATTAATTAATTCAAAATTAAGTTAGTACAGTAATGTTATGACAATTCTACAATTCTAATAATCCACTAACCGACTACAGAATCCACTAGCACGGCTATCGGACATGACGCCCATGCGCATCCAATCACATTATTTCTGCGTTTACCTAATATTCGGTTAGTGGGTTATGCTAACTATGCATATGCTCTGCTTTTACGAACATACTGATAAGAAACTCTGCACCCCATATAAGTGGTGTTGGGTTATGCCTTTGTATTTCTTCAAAGTATGTTTACTCAATAAGCAATAAACGTGTAAAAAGATGATCTTTAATCTACACGCAAAACTCTAAATCATTGTCACCTCCTCCTTGGTAGGTACAAACTTGAGCAGTAACTCGGCGTGTTCGGGCGGCAGTTCCACCAAGTCACACTGGTCTATCAGTAATCCGATAGTTTCTGTAGAGTGCTGTATACGTCGGCGCGCGATAACTGACAAGTGAATACCTCAATGTTAGACGTGTTGTTGATGGAACAATAAAACATTAATAAGCATGTAATGACTGGCCCCAAGGGAAACAGTGAGTTTTGTTTCCCCGAGACCTTCAATGTTCCACGAGGCGAAGCCGAGGGGAACATTGAGGTTATTGAGGTATAACATTGAGGTTATACCTCCCGACTCAAAAATGGAAAAAAAAACTGCGATAAAATGATTTGCTTGACGCCTGCGGTGGCTGTGCTTGCAGCACGAGCGGCAGTCAAACCGAGCTGTCCTACCGAAACGACACGATAACAGTCTTTTTCTTCGCAGCTAACAAAAATAAAGACAATACTCAAGTTGCTCTGCCTTCCCCTAATACTTGAGAATTCTGGGTTTGATTTGGCGAGGAACAGCATATTTTAATTTGTTGTCAATGACACAACTATTTTCCTACCTGGCGAGTGGCGACAGCGATCGAAGAGCGAGTTGCCGAACGCGGGCAACCCTTTTTTGGCGCCAACTTAAAAGCTTAAAGACTCAAAATGTTCAAAATTTCCCCTTTGTTAATCTGATATGTTTTTGCCGAATTATTAATCCCTTTTCTTGAATAATGAATGCCTTCTCTTGTGAGAAACGTTGCCCGACTTCAATGGCTTTTTGATATCAGGCCGACTGACACACAAATTTGCCGCCGTTACATGGTGCACGACCTGATCACGCGCGAGTCGAGAATTCAAGTTGTTATTTCCGTAGGGAGCTAGTGAGTTTTGTTCGCCTGAGGGAGTTAGTGAGTTTTGACCCATGGCACGTGCCATGTTCTCCTCCAGTCGGAAAACATATTTGAGTTGGGAGGTATAACAATGAATGGTAAATGGTTTGAACCCAGAAGTATCAGTAGTTCACTGTTGTAATGGACAAGACTGACTACTTTGACAAAATGGACGCACTTGTTAACGACAAACAAACTTACGAAGAACTTAAACGCGACCCGACGCCATCACTTCAACGTAAACTTAACAGCAAAATACTTGCGCTTAAAAAGACTGACGCTATTGACACTCAACGCTACTATCGACTGAGGTGCTCAGTACCACAACCACCGAAACTTAACGGACTACCGAAACTGCACAAACCTGGTATACCGATGTGACCTATAGTGCCATTCTGTGGGTCCCCTACGTATCAACTGTCTAAGTACTTGACGACCATACTGCAACCCCTCACTGACAAATCAAGACGCAAACTACAATCTACAGAGAACTTTATTGACGCTATGAAGACAGTACAGATACCTAACGACTACAAAATTGTGTCTTTTGATGTGAAATCACTGTTCACCAGTATTCCACTTCAATTGGCATTACAGTGTACCGAGACCGCCATTCAACAATCTACTGTTAAACTACCGTTACCGACAGAAGNAACGTCAGTCACCAACAACAGTTCTTTTCAGAACTACCCTCACCCGGACGATCACACTATACGAACTAATAACAATGAATGTTGTTAACCCTTTCAGCAACAACCAACGGAAATAACAACAACTTCTCCTCAAAAATGTCAACACATAATGACAAACATGTGGTTCGCGTGAATAAAAGCAATTGTCTTGATATGAAATGTAATTCTCTCGACTGTCGCTATAACACATGTATGTTAAGCAGTACAGAGAAGTTTTAAAAACATCAGCATCTTGTTAAATCAATGTCTGGAGCCACACGACCCAGAGAGGAGCTCTGGTTATGTCAGATGACTTGAGTTTGAACTCCTTACCAAGATTTCTTGCTCTTTTCGGCTCAATGACTGTGATTTGTTCTGCTGCTCGCTTTAAGGCTGTTGAGTAACAGAAAATAACCATACATAAGACAACACACTTTGTCAGTAACTCCGCCAAAGTGCAGTGACAATCACGAACTGGAACAGTAACTAAATTCTACAAACTGGAAAATTTTCAAAATGCCAATATGTCTCTTAACTACTAGGCCTAAAAGTTTTAGTCGTTCACAATTTCTTGTCAGTCTATGAAGGTTTGAATGGTTCAGTAGGAAGACATGCATCATTTAGACCGAGGACACATTAAGAACAGCACATGAACACTTGCCTTGTTCCTTCTTTGCAATAAGACCCTCTGAAGCTTCGTTAATTTTCAACTCAAATCTTCTATCAAAATCAGCAAAGTCCAGCACTTCCATGACTTCTTCATCGCTTATTCCCTGCTATGTGAGTAAAAAGCAACATTTACGTGAACAATCTGCGCTGTTCTTCGGTATAGTTTCGAGAGAAGAATTCCTAGCCTCCTTAAGTTGTGTGTTGTGGCTAATTTTCTCTTTAACAAAAATTTCCTCAGTTTCTCAAGTACAGGAACTATCCACGCCAGGTACCAACCTAATCTCTAGAATGTTTAACTCAAGCATGTGACTTGAGATAACAAATCTTTGCGTTCCGTTCATTCCATCTCAGTCACAGGCAAAACTAAAAGAAATTGTATCTTGTCTTTTAATTATTGTTTTTTTGAGAACTGATTGGTTCGTTGTGCTTCTTACATTAGTTGTGGTTGGCCATATGATTCCTCGTTAATACTGAATTGGTTCAGAAAACAGTTTATAGTAAAGTAACAAAAAAAAATTCAGGCTTTGGCTTTTGGCGTACCTTAAAGAAAGCACTGGCGTCCGATTGTGATGAAATGGGAGTCCAGTTTAACATTGGAAGGCGAACTTTATTGGCAGCCACACGTCGCCTCAATGATGGACTTCCGTCTGAAATAAAGTTTGGTTTTTAGGGAAAAAGGCAAAACTTCGACACTGACAGACTTCACTATACGGTGGTCAAACAAAAACAGCAACAAATGACAACGATGTGATGTGCACAATCACATTTGTACAGTTGATTGTCGCTTGATTCCTTTCACTCTACAATTATTCACTAACCTAACTCAGGGGGAGGTGGTGGTGGGGGAATTAGCAAACCTGCAAAGAAATAAAAACATCAACATAAGTCAGAAACCAGCAGAGTAACAAATCATACTTGTCAAAGTCAGCTCCAATAAATGAACATGAAAGCACAGGTACAGAAGAACCGAAGATGAACAAGTTTAAAAGGCATTCTGACGTTTTAGCTGCACCATTAAAACAAACTCTCTAAATTTATCTTTGTTTCAACAGTCATATGGACAGACCGTAGTTGACGTAGATTGTTTTTAGATGAAATGTAACAAACGTGTCTGGACCACGGGTTTATTTGTTTGAACTGAATGGCTCTGAAAGGTTAAGCTTATTAGACGTGAGTCCATACTCTGAAATACTCAGATACACGCACAATGTTCATGTGCCACCTACCATCTAGTGCTGGTGGGGCCGGGGGAGGGGGCGGTGGCGGTGGTGGAGGGATAGGGGGTGGGGCTACTGCTGCTGCAGCCTCGGTTACACTGGTGACGAGTTCATCTGGCAATTCAGCTTGGTCTGCCTCGTGCTTCACTTGTTTCTAAGAAACAACAAAAAATTGAAAAGGCCAATCAGCAATCAACACAGATACCTTATGCGACAACAATAATCAATGTGCTGTGGACGGCTTTTACAATGTTAAACATCGTTTCATTCTGCAGACAGATAATATCCTAAAAGTAAAAGAAGTACTTGAAGAAAAGCAGACTTACCACGACATTTTCCAAAGTTGTCTGCAATTCTGTAGCACGCAGTCTATATTCTTCAGACCGCATGTCAAGCTGAATATCAGAGAGGTCAAAGAGTTAGAATTTAAAACAAATTATCCACAATGGTGTCAATACCTTCCCCAAATACAAGAAAAAAGTAGTCAATAACATTGTTAATTTCTCACCTCTGTGTTTTTACTCTTGAGTTCACTGTTCTCCTTTTGTAATTCCTGATAAGAAACAATTCAAGCACAGCATTACAAAATGTATAAAATCAGATGACTTATGTCATGTCTTATTAAATTGTTCAGTTAATACCACTTTTGCCATTGCTGTTTAATGCCCTTTTTCAAACTCACTAATAGTTCATCAAGTTTAAACAAAGGAAATCGTGACCGTGACGGTGTTTGGATGTCTGATCTTGATTAGCATAGATTTTTACGATTTAATTCGCTATTTTCTCTTTAGCTTTACTTTCGATTGAGAAGATATATCAAACACGCAAGACAGTGTTTGACCACATTTCAAAACACCTCGAAGTTCATCAAAAAACTCCGCTATGCACCGTATTTCCAACTCTCCTCTCGGTGTTTGGAAATGTGATCAATTACGGTCTTTCGTGTTTTATACATTACGTAAAACCATCATCAGCTACTGCTGTATTACCGAACAGAAAGACAAATTAGACATTCACCTACCTCCAGTTTTGTTTGTAAAAGATCAACCTATGGTGAAAAATAATCAAGTATTAATTTGTTTACAAACTATTTAAATTAATCATCTCACAATTCGACTGACAACTTGAACTTAACAGTAGAACTGAGTTTTGGACACATCTGACCATGCTTATACATCTATGCCCACTCTCCCGCATTATATGGGAGTTTTCCGGATACAGACCGAATCTCCTAGTCTCCCGTCTGGGTCACCAAATTTCCCAGATACAAAGGAGTACACTTATTTTGTTTGACAATTTCCGGGAGACATTTTGGGATATTTGATGCATTTTTGTTGTTAAATGGGGAGAGCTTTACTTTTAACGTTTTGTTTTGGTTGAGATGGTACAATTGGTTATCCTCTGGATTATGAGAATTTTTTTAAGTTGGCATCTCTGTAACACATAATACGATTGATACAGACAACTAAAGAAGAATGTTAGAGTCACTGTGCACACAAAACAGGACTCCTAATGACTGTACAGTATCACTGGAAAGAATTGATAATTAACAAAAGTAAAATCGTACCTCATCTCTGAGGTACTTGGTTCTTTCTCTGAGAGTCACAAACTCATCCATAACTCCTTGTACATGAATATAGTTGTCCTGCCATGTTTTTAGAGCCTCCCGAACAGATCCAGCCTCCATACCCTCCAGAGTCTACAAAATTGAAGCAGACCATTCCACTTAGTTTTTATCCTAGGTTTGTATCCCCAGTGAAATACCAGATCATCTTTCAGGATCATTGCAAAGACACTCAATCAGTAGGGTTCTCAAAAGGTCCTCACAATGACTATTCAGATCTTTGAAAATTGTCAACGATTGTTTGTAGACTTCGGACTAGCACAGTCTAGTACAATCATACATAACTATGTTTACATGCATAAAATATACATGTATTACCCTCTCCAAACGTTCCACATCAAATCCTGCATCTTCAATTTCTTGCTGATGGAAAACTTTCTTGTTAAATGTTGGTGTGATACCAATCAAGGAATTGAAGAAAGCCAAACAGAGTGTCTGGAAGAGATAAAAAAAATAACATGTTCATATCATCATGTCAAATGACATTAGAAGGCCATGTAGGTCAACAACACGGAAAGGAAAATAAGTCTGCTTTACCTGGAACTGTGGTGAGATGGGTCTCTTGTACATCAAGTTCACCAGTGTTTCAAATGTGCGGCCCTCTCTTGTTGTTCTTGTGTAAAACCTCACTGCATCAATAACTTTTTCATAATATTCTGACTGGATGCAGGCTTGTGTTAACATCTGGCCATGGATAGAAATAAAAAAGTTAATTTTGAGGTATGTTTGTGTAGAGAGGGGGAGTGGAGTATAGAAAGAATCAAGTAAAGTGTAAAGCTTTTGATTATTGCTTAAACATGTCAGTCTGTTAATAGTAAACATATATTTTAGTATGTAGGCATGTGGCTACGAGTCTCCAAGTAGCTTGGTCTCCCATAAATAAAAGATTCACTTTTTAAAAGTAAACTTTGCAGTAATTTAAACACAAGGAAAAAACTATTACGATTTTAAAAGTGCATTGTATCGTTGTCACAACTGTGAAAGATGAGTTAACCTTAAGTGAATAAAAGTTTTCTGGTGTCTGACATTGACAGGACAATTCTTAAGTTAAAAGCCCTCCAAATGCCTTTCTTATAAATCAAAAGCCCTGATCTGAATGCTTTCTATTTACACCCTTCTAATCAGTAATAACTTACACAAGATTCTCTTGGAACATAACAGATGGGCATAGATTAATGGCAGGTGATTGACGCAGCAAAGAATATTAGATAATACATGTAGATGACGGTCACAGTCATACCTTAACAACCAGTGCTCGTGTTTTTAAACTGTCAATTTTTAGACAGAGGATAATGGATTTGAGGCAGTCTTCCACACCCATGATTGACTGAAAACCATACTGGAAAAGGAAATGAAAAATAATTTATAATAACGTTTTCACATAACTTGGAAAAATATTTTGCTTCCTAGGTCATAGGAAAATTATGTCACATGTCTCAGCCCCTCTAATACAGGAATAGTATGCTCCTTCAAAAAATAAACACATTATTTATGTATGGGTTACTGACCAAGTGTGAGGTCAAGATGGCTGGATATTGGCCAAGTTCTTTTTTTGCATGTTTATGGACTGAGATGGAGTTGAAGTCCATAAACTCGCAAAAAAAAGAATGAGACCAATATCCAGTCATCTTAACCGAACAAACTTGGTAAATAAAGGCACGGGCAAGATAGTACCACCTTGCCCGCTCAGGCACAAGATTTGATTCATCTTGCCTGCTCACAGAGCTAGCCATATGATAAAGAGGTTTAACCACTGACTGTGATATGTGGTTCACCATAATATTTCACCATGGTTTGGTTTTGGTTTGGATTACTGAAATATAGTTTGGTACAATTCAGAAATTAAACTACTAGATTTGTATGTTGCACCTAGTAACGTGACTGTTTAAATGTTCCAAATTAAAGATTTAAAATTTATCAATGATTGATGGATTGATTTTTCAGATTAGTAGGCTTGCAACAATGTTTTCTTTTTCATGTTTTCATGATGAAAGTTAAAAAAACATACCTTGTTCCTCATTAAAACTCTTATACACATAAGACACAAATGTTCATCAACCTAAAGTCAGTGTGAAAAGATATGGTTAGAGGTTGTAAAGTATTCTTTCAATTTAGTATGGCTTCTTTTATCTATTCTGTAGTATGACTCAAGACCTAAACATTCAAAATGGCGGTCCTGTAAAAAACACACACCAAAATGAGGCGCACATAATTATTGAAGGTGGGAACCGAAACGCATACATTACATCTCTCTTCTTACAGAATGAATGGAATAAACAGTTGACACAACTAATTGCGCTTTAGAATGTTTTTCGGAATTCGTTCGTAAGTCAAGTCTCACAGGTGGCTTTACAACTCGACCGGATCGGGTGACGTATGGTTCATTGTAAGGATCCTGGGTCTGTGGGTAGGCTGTGGGTTTCTGGTTAAGCATCACTCCTGATTTGGCGTCTTCAATATTTTCGTGACCTTCCAAAGTGGTTGTGGATGTTTCTGGTTTGTCACATTGTCCCCCTCGATTTTCTTTCGCGCATAGGGATCTTGTTGTCAATAAGTGACATCTGTTCCTGCAATACTTACTTCCATTGCTGGTAGGTACTATATAAGACCTCAGGGTGCTATGTTGGCTCAGAACGGTGGCAGGCTTCCAATTTCCTGACTTTGTTTGAACATGAACTTGTTCACCACTTGCAAGGGGTTTCAGCTCTCTAGCACCCTGATTATAGTAATACCTTTGAGTGGCCTGTTTTTGCTCCATTCTCTCTCTGGCAAGATCAGGATGGACAACGCTTGGTCTGAGGTCGTTGCTTGTAGTGGAGATCTAATAGAGCACAGATTTCTGCTCATCTCCAACTTGGCCTTCTTCAGGAGCTGTTCTGCAGTGTGGACGGCCTTCTCAGCCAGACCATTTGATTGAGGGTAAGTGGGACTGCTTGTAACATGGCTGAAATCCCACTCACTGGCGAACTGCGCAAATTCCTGTGTGGAAAATTGGGGGCCGTTGTCGGACACCACTTTCTCAAGGATGCCGTGCCACGCGAAGATGGTTTTCATCTTGTTGATTACTGCAGAGCTAGTCGTGGTGGGAATCCTTTCCAATTCAAAATATCTACTGTAGTAGTCGACTACAATCAGATAATGTTCATTGTCAAGTTCAAACAAATCAGTTGTGACATTTTGCCATGGATAATCAGGTAGCTTGTGTGCAATCATTGGTTCCTTGGGGTTGGAACTCTGGTGTTCCGTGCAGGCTGGACAATTTGAGACAACATCTTCTATCTGACTGTTCATGCTGGGCCAAAACATGACCTCCTTTGCTCGATTTTTTGACTTTACCATGCCCATGTGTCCTGTGTGGATTCGCTTCAACATGTCTTTCCTGGGAATGACTATTCTTTCTCCTTTGAACACTAAGCCCTCCATCACCGAGGGCTCATCCCTGTAGTTCCAGAAGGGCTTTACTGACGGTGTGCAACTGCTTCTGTCATCTGGCCACNTCGATCCCGGCCTAAACATAATTATACAACGCGGCGATCTCGACTGGCGACCTGCACTTTGAAATAGAAAAAAATATGTACTTTGCAGCCGTCCAAATCATATATATAGCTAGACTCTGAATTGTAATGCTAGATGATACAGTTCTTTCACTTAAAGTTCTTGTCCAGTTTTGATAAAATATGAATCACAAATAACCTGAAAGTGTTCTGACTGCCCTCAAAGCTAAGTCAAAAGTCTCCTAAGTGTTTTAGCCCCGTTCCTGAAGTGACGTCAATAGTAGCCCGACCCAGATCCTACTTTGCGTGGTCGTGAACATAGTTTAAACGCTTCTAGAAACGCAGGAATTTTATCAATCGAGATAATTTTTTTGCTGAAGTAATCAGGGAAACTAGTAGATTTTATTAAACGAAAAAAAATTTTGGGGCTTAGTGGCACTTTAAATAAGGTCACATATTATTGGCCTGTTGGTGACCATATTAATGGGGTTCCACTGTATATAATTCTGCTGTTCCTTAACAAATTAAGATGTAAATGGTCAGGTAGCATCACCTTTATAGCTAACACCTCACTTCACATTCTGTAGCACATACTAGTCCTACTATCATCCATCACCAATCAAGAGGCAAGCTCATTTCCAGGTTATCATAAATAACTATTGTGCTTGAATTACATTTGACAAGCAGAATACAGAACAAAATAAATATAATGTGGAGGTACTTACAAAGTCTCTGGCCAAAACATCTGGTTTTCCTTTCTTCTTTGGAACATTGTCCTCTCCAGATGAAGGTTGATTTAAGTGAAGGTACTGTAGGAATTCTATTAATGCAATGTGGCCTCTGTATGGATCATCTATAAATTCACGTAACCACCTTAAAGTAGAATGTTACAATCATTATGTTTTCATATTTAAAGAAAAATGTACAATCTTAATTCACACTCAATTTTTAACAGTCTTGAAAGGATTGACATACTGACTGAAGTACAGTGATGCAATGGACAAATGGGAAATAAGTTATATTTTCAGAGATTCGTGACACGAACTACATGTAGTTAAGTAATAAGCCCCGGGGATGCTCCCTTCTTTGGGCTTAATATACTTAGGTATGTGTGGCACCAAAGGGTATGGTTTTTTAGCCATTTTGGTCATAAATAGGGTATACATTTTGGTCATTTTGGCTTCAAATAGGGTATGTTTTTTTTGCATTCTTGTCTTGAAAGCAATTTGTTTTTTTTAGAAGAAGCTACTACATCTACATCTTCATTATGGGGGTCTTGCAAAGGGAGGCATGCTCCCATCACTGCAAGACATTGAATAAAAAAAAATAAAATAAAAAAAAGGGTGGGGGGTAAAAAACCTTTAAAATATATGATAAAATATGTACATAATTTAAAAAGATTACTAAGAAAAGTTAAGTAAGATTAAAAAATTAGAACCTAATTAAAACGTCATCATTCTAATCTAAGAGCATTCTTGAATAATTGATGTTTTTTAACATCTAAAACATCATTAGGTAAGGCATTCCATTCTCTAATAGTTCTACAATAAAATGAGTTCCTATAGCATTCTGTGTTCGGAGTTAGCTCGATGAACTTGTCTTTGTGAAAAGATCGAAGTTGACAATTACGCCTTTTGATATAGCATGGGATTTCTAATGCTGATTCACCATGAATAGTAATGTGAGGCGAGCAGATTTCCTTCTGTTTTGAAGGGAGGGCCATTCCAAATCGTTAAGTAAATTGGAAACAGTTCCAGGTGTTCGCTGCCAACAGTTCTTCACAAATCGAGCAGCTCGCCGTTGGACATCTTCTACTTGCTTTATATGCTTGTCAATCCAGAGATCCCACACCAGGCTTGCATATTCCAGATGAGGTCTCACTAGTGCTTTATAAGCTAATTCTTTAATTGATTCAGGGCAGTTGCCAAGATTTCTTTGCAGAAATCCAAGAGTTTGGTTTGCTTTGGTAACCTTACTGTCAATATGATGGCCCCAGTCTAGTTTAGAGGATAGCTCAACCCAAGATATGGATGCTGTGACACTGATTCAAGGGAGTGCCCCATTAATTTATAATCATAAATAACAGGATCACGTTTTCTGGTTATCCTCATGACAAAGCATTTACTTGGGTTAAATTACATCAGCCATTTCTGTGACCAATATTCAATAGTGGATAGATCAGATTGGAGATGTTCAGCATCATTGGTCAACTCTATAACACTGTATAAGATTGTATCATCTGCAAATAGGCGTAAAGCAGAGGAGCAGTGATCACCAATATCATTTATGTATAAAACGAACATCAATGGTCCTAAGACCGTTCCTTGAGGAACACCAGAAGATACGTGAACTGAGTGGGATCAGACACCATCAACTATAACGGACTGTTCCCTGCATGTAAGCCAGTTTGCTAGCAAATGTTTAAGATCACCATGTATGTCATATTAATCCAGTTTACGAATAAGACGTTGGTGAGGAACAACATCAAATGCTTTAGAGAAATCCATAATTATGAGATCTGTCTGCTTACCACTGTCAAGGGCCTCAAGTGGCAATTTCCTCAATTGCAGTTACGAGCTGGGTTTCACAAGAAAACTTCCGGTGGAAGCCATGTTGAGAGTTGACTAGGATATTGTTTGAGTCCAGTTGGGTCATTATATCATGAAAAATAATATTTTCCAGGATCTTGCAGGGTACAGCAGTTAATGAGATAGGACGGTAATTACTGGCAAGGTGTTTACTGCCTTTTTAGTCAGTATTTACTAAAGAAAATCTTGATAACATTCCATACTTTTTCATCATTGTCAGTAAGACCATCAAAAAAAGTCCTTCACAATGCCTTCAACATCCGTCTGAACTTAAGGGAACTAATTATGAGACAGGTATGAAACAGGGTATTGATGTAGGGGTCTGAGGTCTTAAACAAGGTATAACATTTTTGGTCAGGTCATTAATATTAGTGTAGGGAATATCACAGATTTTGGTGTTACATAGAGTTAGGGTTTTGGGAAGCGGGCCACACACCCCAACCCAATTTTTCTGGGAGTACCCCACCCCCTCTCCAAAGAGTTAAGCAAAAGAATATAAGTATATTTATTATGTTAGTTTAAATTGAACAGGCCAGGGGTTTCAAATAAGGGATGGATACTAGGCAAATTGCCCTGCTGAGGCTGATTTTGTCTGCCTTGTTTGACCATTTGGAGAAATACTTTTCTTATAAAGGAGTTCAGTTCAAAATGTTTTGCCTGCCTGCAAAAACCAATTGCCTTCCTGCTTATTAATCATTTTAGTTAAAATGACCATGAGGTATGGAATACTGATCTAGGAACAATAAAAAGCCTCTTGATAATCAGCATACAGTGTAAACACCAGCATTATAAGCAGCAATCAACAACTTCGGACGCTTACATAAGTACACAATAAAGTTGACAACCATTTGGCAGTGAATGGGACCAGGGTTGTTGGGTGCTCCCTGGCAACTCTAAAGGTGGCAGCAACACACCCTGTAAATAGCTACATAATAATAGGGGTGGTAGCAACACACCCTGCAGGTGATGGATGAGCCAACAAGTGTGGCACGTGCCACACCTGGAAATAAGGGATGTCAGCCACCAAGTGTGGCACATGCCACACCCGGATAGATATAAGCGTGAGGTGGGATCAGGGTCCCACCCGGCCTGCTACATGCAAAGCTAAGTGGCAGGTGTGCACCCAACCCTGTAGTCCAGCTGTTTATTGATAATGGGCGGGGGAGGCGGGAAAAATACAGACAAATCGCAAACTAGCTACTTGCACTGGTGAGAGTCACAACAACACAAGGCGTTGTTCAGTATGAGAACAGGCAAGCAGTAATTATAAATGATAACTTGATATCGTTTATCTTGTATCCATTACACATAATAACAGAGTTTTGTTTAGGCTGCCTGCATTCCGACACGCAAACCNTGACAGTTGTTAAACCTAGTCAAACATTGAGTTGCAGTATAGCGTGACTAAAGGAATGATACACATGTGTGATATCCATGCAACGCTTTACATTGTTAACTCTATTTTACAAGTAAGATTACCATATATACATATTATATAGTAGGCATTTTAACAATCTGACTCACGTGGTATTTGGATGTGTCCGAAGGTCAACCTCCAGGGATCTTAATATCATTTCTACAGGCTCCAGACCCTTTAGCAGTTTCTTGTTTAGTGTTTTGTTGAGTGCAATATCCCTGTGAGTCTTTAACTGTTCAATATAGAAGCCTGAAGAGTACTTGGGTTGCATCAGTTCCTACAAAGACAGACACAGTTCTGTCATTAGTCGATAACAGACTCCTGGGAACTTGCATATTTTCTTTGTTAGAGTTAAGTGCTTTGCATGCTTTAATATTTTGAAAAACTCAATATAGGAGCCTGACAATCACTTGACTGGGCTGCACTGCATCAATTTTGACAACAACAGAATTCTGTCTTTAGTTGATATTGTGACCTCCAAGTTAACTTAATAAATGAATTTCCTGTATCAAGTTGACAGAGATTTTCCTTACAAGATATGATCTTTATTTTATATTGCATGGAATTATCCTACTAGTTAAAATATATTTTTTTAACCATAAGCTAGCTAATTTTTAGTGCAGAGCGCACTATTGGGATGGTTTAGGGGGCTGCTGTTTGCTAAAGCACTAGTGCCATAAGGTGTAAACTTTAATGTTTGTTTAATTAATTAATTTCAATGAATCAATCAGCCTTGCGGGAAGGGGGGTTGGGTGCGGTAGGTACCCGAGTGCATTACGCAAAACGTGTCATACTTACATTGCTTTCTTTGATCACAGGACAAAAATATATATATGGTTTTGCAAATCTCATGCTATCCTTGTGGTGCCATTCTCTCAAGAACAAAAGCAGTTTGCTCCAAACGCATGCGCAGGTTCATAAGCGTCAAAGTCGACTACATGTTAGGTGAAAGAGACATTTCATAACATATAAGACGCATGCGTTCTAGCATTGCTAGTGTGATAAACTCTGTTCTCAAGTTCAGATGTACGTTTTTTTTAATTTTTTGTAACGAGTGATATCATACTCTCGTTTTGGCTGGTATAGCAGTTACATTTCAGGTAACGTCAGTTCTCCTTTTTTAGTGCAAACAACGCCACTGTGACTGCGTATCTTCTGGAATCTTCCCTAGCTCAATTCAAGAAATGTTGTCTGCTGTTTTATAACTATTGTGTGTTTGTTAGGGTTGAAATAGAGAATGGGAACATATTGCTTCTCCTTAGCAGCTTTTTTGAAAGAGAGCCCAAATATCATATTCAGCCGAAACTTTCCCGTGTTAGTTACATGTAAAACTGGTAAATTTGTGACAAAAGAAACTTTGTTATTATTGCTGCAGACTCTGTGACACTTACTGAAATCTCCAATTAATTTCATCAGTCGATGAGGCGACCCGCTCACCGATGTGGGATATAATTTCGGTCAAGTAAAGATCTCTACCTTCAATACTTCTTGTTGAAATGCTCCTCAGTTGTATTACTTGAAAGCCTTGTGTATTTGTCTGATGTGGTTTTATTGTTCACACCAACTCGGCTGGCAACAGAATTAGAACGTACCATTCCGTGATTCGATGTGACTATTTGATAATTAGATTAGTACTTGTTTATCGGTGAAATGAAAATTTACATTTTGAATAAAACAAAATCTTCCTCTTCGACTTTTCAGCAGATATTTAACTTTTATATTCCATTTATCTCCAGCAGTAAGTTAAAAAATTACACATCTTTCTTATATTTTCATGGAAACAAAGGTATCTTGCTGCATACATTGGCAAGAAAAAATGTTTATAATTTTGAAAATCATAAAATAATATTTTTACTAAAGTTGTGAGTTCATTAATATTTCCTTTCTCTGGATCCAAATTCTTTTCAGTGCAGAGTAAACTATTTGGATGGTTTAGGGAGCTGCCATCTGCTAAAAGCAATGACGTGCAAAATTTAATGTTTGTTTAATGAATTAATTATTTTCAATTAATTAGCCTTGCCAAGGAGTGGGATGGAGTAGGTACCTGTGTACACTTCAAAAAACATCTTACACCCACATTACTTCTTTGATAACATCACAAAGCGATAAATGTACCTTGTGGTACTATATATTCTCTTTAGCACTTGTAAAAGCATTTTTTTCTGAATGCATTGCACACATTAGTTTGTGTTATTGTTGACTTATATATATTAGGTTTAGAAAAACATTACATAATGGATCACACACAAATTAAACATTGAATGCTTTTCCTAGCTTGTAGTAGAACACAACATGTAAGACGCATGTATTCTTGCATCATTAGCGTGATACACCATTCTCATCTCCGTCCAGAGCCATACAGTAACTGTTTTTTTTCCTGTGCTATGGAATACCAAACTCTTCACTTCACTTCTTCCTTTTTTAGCGCAAAGAATGCTACAGTAACTGTGATATATTGATTATGTATCTTTTGGAGTTAAGGCTAGCTCACTTAAATGTCATCTGCCATTTTCAGCTACACTATAGTGTGTTTGCCAGGGTTCAAATAAAGAGCGGAAGTGTATTTCTTTTCCTTAATTAATGGCTTTTTAATTTCTTTCTTTTAAGTGCCTCTCTGAAAGAGATAAAAAAGTGTAATTTACAAGGACAGAATCAAATATAAAGACCAAAACATCCACTTTAATCGTATGGGTAGAGTAATATGTGTAATGTTAAAATAAACTTGACAAAAACGTCTGACTATGATGTAAACAGAGTTTAATTGACAGAGATCAAGGATCAATGCATACACATTCAAATTATTAAGGAGATTCACAAGCAAAAAGATGAAAGTTGATTTGAACCACCTGCTATAAACTTATCCTGTAAACTGTATGCCATGGAACAGATGTTGGTTCAAACTGGAAAACAATTTTGAAAATAGCTAGATGCTGACATGACTAATACACCGAAGGGAACACGATAAAATAATATATAAAAAAATTATTGCTAACAAGTATTCGCAGTTATAGACTGTACCATAGAAGTTTAATAATCAGCACTTATTCTGACTAATCTTACAAAACACTGACAAATGAATGATTAAGTTCTACAGTGTTAATCTTGGACAATAGTTTTTGATGAATAAACCGTATAATAAAGACATGAACCCAATCTAGTGTGATAATTATATAACATTCCCGAGCATGAAAACTTACTAAACGACTTAATAACGATATAGAAACTATTTAAATATTTCAATAGATGGCTGATAAAACAAAACTCAACTGAAATGAACAATAATAGAAAACTAAGAACTAAGCCTAAAACCAAAGAATAGATAGTCTCACTTTGTTTGCACAGGCACTGAACTTGACTTGACAGTATGGTAGAAGAGCTAAACAGAGTAGATCGAGAGAAACGAATTGGCCCAGTAACCAGCGGAAGTTGACACAGTGAAGTCCACACTAAAACTGAACTGACTGAGAAAAATCTTAATTGGATATATCTAACGAGACACGCATGCAAAACCTAGCAGTTATATGTCCATTTCTCTAATGAACATAAAGCAGCCAAGGGGCGGTACATGTACGATGTCTGCAACCACAGTAGATTATAAATAAATAATATGCCTTCTTTACAAGTGACAATTACTATCTATATCTATGCTTGGTATAGTAATTAAGCTGCTACTAATTAAAGAACTGAATTTAACATCATATTTGTGACAAAAGAAACTTCTCAAATATTGCTGCAGACTCTGTGGCACCTACTAAAATTGCCAATCAATTTACACAGTCTTTACAGGGACTCGTTCACGATCATCAATGTAGGATATAATCTTGGTCAAGTAGCACATTGCCTGAAAACCTTCACTTTACTTCTTGTGGAAATGCTTGAGTTGTATTAATCTGTATCATCGTGTATTAATTTTGAGTGGTTTCATTTTTAAAACACCAAAGGTGGCATCAGAATAAAGAATGTGCTATTCCATGACTCTATGATAAATTGAAATAAGTTCTTGTTTATCAGTCAAATGTAAATTTGTGTCTTGAATAAACAAAATTGTTGCTCTTCATTTTTTTCATCAGATATCTAAATTTCTTTCATCTCCAGCACTTTAAAGCACATCTTCCTGTGTTTTACCAGGAAACAAGGGTATCATGTTACATACCTTTGTGAGGAAAACTAAAGTATCAGGGGTGGAGTTACAGTACACTTACTGAAACCGGGGTCACCCAAACAATGAAAACCAATCAGATGGTAGAACTGAAACAATAAATCCAACATTTTCAAATCCAGCCTATTAAATATCCAGTACAAAACAATGAAATGTCTGTCTGTCAATGGATTTTCAAGCTCAAAGCATTTTAGTACTTTCACATTAGAAAATATTGTGTTACTTTACTTTAAATTTTACATTTACAAGAGTGATAAACTCATTACATTGACTATTTCCTCTGTCAACGTACGGCCACACAAAACATCATCCTTACGGTTGTTGTTTCAAATTGTAGAGTAATAGATTTTGACACCTTTATAATTTTACAAAATAAATTATTCTGCCCCTGTTGTCTGTGTGTGTTTCTATTTTTTACATAGGTTTTGGTTGTCATTAAATGTAAATGCAGCCGACCGTGAAATCCACCACTCATGCCAGGTCTCAGAAAAACTACCACATTCACTGCCTCAACAGCTGTACATTTTGAAGTTTGAGATCCCTTTCTGTGTTATGGGTGTATTGAAATACAATCTTCATCAAAAATTCTGACAAATTTTTTCCACGTCATACTATCAAAGCCTCAGCATGTAAAATCACTCAGGCAAAAACAAAAGACGGTGGACCAAAGGATCCTCCCCTAAATGGAAAAATGAAGAGATTTTGAACAAAGTATTCAGGTCACAAGTCCACATTAGTATTGACTGAGTAAAGTTTTCAATTCTCCTGTTTGAAGTTAATTTGCTTTCAGCTCCTTTCAGTAACATCAAAAATAATCCCTTTCCAATTCGTTCATTTCCAACCTGCGAGTGACACTCTTAAGCAGCTTTTCTTTTCATGTATTTTCTAAACCTGCAACAAAGGACCCTATAGAAAGTGCAGCATATAATTCTTCTTAAACCCGCAGCACGCGAAAGTACTAGTTAACAGTTTGAGCTTGGCAATTTATTAACAGACACTGTAGCCATGAAAGTATCACAACAAACAAGTTGAGATTTCATTATTTTGTGCTGGACATTTGATTGGCTGGATTTGAAAATGTGGGAATCTAATTTCTCAGTTCTGCCATCTGATTGGTTTTCATTATCTGGGTGGCCCCAGTTTTAGTAAACACACTGTGATATTTAGGAGGGACGCTGAAGGGGCCAGGATCAGGAGTTGAAGGCAGGGGTGAGGCAGGGACCATGAAGACCATTTTAAAGTGATACAGGGTTGTTATGGCTGAATATAAAATCTGGCCAAGACAATTAGGGCTCACTGCTCCACTGCTTTGTTATTTTCAAGTAGTAAAATTCATACATTATTCATGTCATCTGGAACAATAACAAATCAACCAAAGTGAAAAAGTCAGGCTCCTCCTCTTTTGTGGTCCCTATAAGATGTACATTACACTCTGCACTATCTGAGATTGTTTCACCAGTTAGTAACTATATAATGCCATGTTGCTGTCTCAAAAATAAACCACCAAATATTTTGCAAAAAAAAAATTAAGAGTGCAATACTTTTAAATAAGAGAAGCTGATCTTAAGTTTAAAAAGCATGTAATGTGGTCTTTCTATATTATGTCTTTCCTTTTCTTGGAAGGGCAGCACAAGCAGATATCAAGTGTAAAAAAACATCAGAGTGAGGATAAATTGTGTGGAAAAAACTGACTATAAATTGTAGGGTGGCCAACATTTAAAGAGTTTGAGAGTATGGTAATTTTAGTCTTGATTGAAGAACATTAGCTCCATGCATATACTTAATTTACATGTTTCTCCAAAAAGGTACATTTGTGATCCAAAAACCCACAGGAAATTGAAAGTAACCATCTTAGAAGTAGTTATGAAAGATATAAACAATCCTCTTTCTTCTCATAAAGTTACAAATAGTCTATATTCTGTGGAACCCACTCTGGCCTAGCTATACATATATTTATACCATGCCATAGAAAATACATCCCATCAGAATACATGAAAGCTGTTGTATATTCGATGGTATTACATCCAACCTTCCCATCATGCCCTGCATGCATGTCACATTCGATAATTTATGTTAGCCATTGTATTTTCTATGGCATGTTGTAAAATAGTCACGTGGCACTCTCTGGTGGTACACCATGGAATATCTGACTTATCACTTGTATTTTCTTGGTATGTACACTCGCCTAAAGGCTGGTGTGTATACCAAGAAAGTTCAAGTGACTCATGAGTTATTCCCACAGGGTGGAGACTCCCATTTGAAAAGGTCAGGGATGCTTGTCCTCTCGCTTAGGGGTAAAAATCAAGGATTTTGGTCTCCATTAGGGTGTTCAGGACAAAATGCCAGTATTTTCTGTATCCTTAAGGACGCAGTCAAAGTTAAGAGAATAAGTTAATCATAAAACGCTCTCATTTCTGTTTTTAGGTTTAATTTCTGCCTCTCACTCAAGTCCAGTCCACTACCCCGGGCTCCTTTCCTGAACAGCGACTGGTTATCGAACCTATTCCATTTTAAATGGTATCTTTTATGGGTCAAATAAAGCTTGAGCTACACCCAGATTGGTCTCCTTTAAAGGTTTAATTCTAATTTTCTGACAAGCATCCCCAACCTTTTCATATGGGAGTCCCCCCGGCATTATTCCATAGTATAACACTCAAAAACGTCACATACTACTATATGTACATTATTAAACGAGCAGGAGAGCTGTTATGGGAGAATATTGCCCCAAGCTGTTGAAATTGTGGACTGAACAAAGCGAGGTCCATATAAAAAAGACAAAGGTCAATATTCTCCCAGTACCTGTATGGTCCCTGAAACAAGCTTGGTTAATGAGAGATTTATTACATGACAGAAAAATGTTTATTTATGTTTGACAATCTCAAAAGAAAGAAAGACAAGACAATTTAAAAGAAGAAAAAGAAAAAGAATTTGCCACAGTTGAGAGTAATTCTTTTGAGAAACTGAGTAAGCCACAAAACAACAAGAAAATTGTCAAATTATAGAGATGACAAGGAACCATTTGGGACAGTGACCGGTGGTCCAATACTCAAAAAATATTGCACTAGCAATGGAGAGATCTGATTGCTCCATTATAGTTATTGCAGGCCCTCTGAACTAAGTCAGAGCATTATAAACTAAGTAAGTTTTTAATAGACAGTAGAGATGCAATATGATAGAAAAAGTATATATATGCCAACAGGTGCTTAAGAACAAATCCACTATAAGAGAGTGTGAACGCATTTCTTACTCAAACACTTTTAAAAAAGTGTATTCAATTTTATTTGATTGATTGGTGAGTATGTCATTTGTGCATGAAAATAACCTGAAGAGCAATAATTTTGTAATTGCAAGAGTAATTGGCATATTATTATCCACCAGCATGTGTTTGAATGTGCCTTAATTTTACAATCCTAGGTGCACAAATTCCGTTCCCTGAACAAAGACTATCAAAGAATGTTCACAAAATTAAGCACCACATAATTATGTAAAGGTCCAACTCGTCAAACTACAATGTAAATCGACATTGCATGCAAGGCAATACTAACATCCTCTTGTCTGTCAATACCAGAATCATCATCTGATTCGGACATGTTAAATTTGTTTCTCTAGGATGTCAGAGGCTTAAGTTTGTCTTTCCGTTTCAGCGTAAGAAGATTTGAGTAACTGATGAATTCACCGCCACTTTCATTCGCTGTAATGTGCGTGAAATCACATCTCCATTTTAAGATGTTACAACTTGCAGTAAGAGATTAAAAACAGTTCTTTCTGCTGAGACAAGATCTATCGAGATCTTGTGACTTTTTTAGTCGCAAGAATGAATTTTAATTTGTTGCCACCCGTAACGTTGGTAATTAGACTTCCTTTCAAATCAACCTCAACTTATTTATAGCAACTTCAAGCATTCATTTAGAATTGTGAAGACTTGTTTACATAACTCAGCAAAACTCTTTCTGTTGAGTAGGTTTTCTGCAGTTAAATTCCAATTCACGACGAGGTGACCGTGGGAAAAGCCAGAAATATTATCCGAGCTACGTTTCTATTGTAGTGTTATTCTCTGATTTGACAAAAGGATTAATTAAACTTTAATGCTAAAAGCACTTATCTGTCAATGTCGACTGACGTAAATGTTATGGATACGAATAAACGCTTCGTGGGTGTAAAATAATACATTCCAAAAAAGATTTAAAAACAGCCTCTCAATTTTGCACACAATCTTAAATGTAAGCTAAGCTGTTTCAAGTAAACCGGGAGTATTATAAACCTCACACATTTAATTTATTGAAGATTTAGCATTCCGGTCCACTCGCTTACGACTGATCAATATTATATTCAGGAATTACTAGAAATAGTGAAAAAATTCCATACCTTTGCTTTAATCATTTTCCATTTATGAGCTTTTGGACTTTTGGCGAGTTCCGCCTCTCTCTCTGGTGGTAGTGTCATCTTTTCCTGTGTTGCAAACAGGTAAAACTTTAAGAAAGTTGACAGAGTAATCATGACTTGTTTACTTATCGTGCGCCGCATAAATATAACCATCAAAGCTCTTGAACAATTTTGAAAATAAGTTGAATTCAGCTTACCAATAAAGTGGAAAATCTTCGCTCGATTTCCTCATCATCAGGCAATTCTTCGTCAACATCAAACTCTACGATCAAAGGTACAAAGTTGGAAGTTTGCAAAGCTGGGAAAAAGTTCGTAGGGTAAATATGAAAAGCGCCCGTGAAAGAAAATATTAGGCTGGTTTCATTGTGGTTTCACATGGCGAACAATTTAACTCCGCTCCAGTACAGTAGAAAGTTCATCTTTGTTTTGAATAAATGATTTCACTTTTACGTCCGTCACAAAAGGGAGCTAGCAAATGAAATAACAGGAATCTTTACCTGTATCATCTCCACCTGAGGAACTTTGAGACACCGATACAGCGCTGGAGGACGATCTCACTGAATCGAACATGCTGAGCCGGGATTTTCGAACTTCGCCGTTCTTCGTTTTATGACTAAGCTTAGCTTTTGCATTTCCAACTCGATCTTGCACCATGCTGTTATCTATCGGGCAAGCCGGTTCGCCACAAAAGGATCAAACTGAATACTCCAATTAGGACTACCGTATGCCGTCTGTTATGGTTTGTGTCGATTCACCTTTGGCTTCCCTGCAAGAGTAGGGTTAGTACAAAATGATGCATGGTTACGGAGCAACTTGGATTATATTGTCACACTAGAACCCTCTGAATTTTGCAACGATTGACATCAATGACTTTACCATGGGAATCACTATGTGCTTTGAGTTATTGAAATCTGCAACGCTTTTAAACTAGTCTGGTGTAAAAATCGCGTAGAAATGACAAATATTGAAATGATCTGTGACGGTGAATGTACGTCATAACCCTACCATCTCTAAAACAACTTACGATAAGATTAATGCCTTTACGACATGTGTGTTCATTTAAAGAAGAAAGACACAATGGCATTTTCGTGTAGGAAAATTACGAGAGTGTATCGTCAAATTGCAATTGAAATCTTAATTTGCGATCGAGTATTTTAAATTAAGGTTTAGTTTAATACAAGGCAATAAGGTGAAGTCGACAAGAATTCCATTCGCTTCATCGTAATTTCTACGGCATAACTAAGCCTACCTTTCCGTATTGCTTCCGTTAGTATAAAATTACCAATACTCGACATTCTTCGCACATATTTCAGATTCGAGAACTTTACCTTCATCTCCCGACTTCTCCCGACTAAATTAGGGTGCGTGACTTTCAAAACAACCAATCACAAAGCATGATTTTCCGCGAGCGCGCGAAAGAATCCTTGAAAAATAGAAATCATAAGATATACCTTTTTGAAAAAAATACTATATCTTCCCCTTACTATAAAAAAGGTCTTTTTCGAGTTTTTCGCTTTTTAATAAAAAACCGGAAGTGGCTGATCAGTTTCGCACACACATCCCAAAGAGGAAGCGAGGAAAAAGCAATCTAACCTTCTGCCGACTACCTCTCTCTTGAGTATTACTAAAGACCACTAAAAGATTTGTGGGCTACCTTGTCTACAAGTGTCTCCTTCTAGTCTTTCTTCTCGCAAAGAATTTTATTTTAACAAAGCCCTTTCATACCACTGTTTGCATGTAGACTTTAAAATCCTGTTTTATTAAAATATGTCATCCTTCCTGCTTCGCACACCGGAGAGCTTTGAGTGTCTACACGCAAGCTAATCTAGCACGACATCGATACAATAATCTGATATTTTTTTCTTTCAACACACAGACTATGCTGTACGCAAACGATCTATATTAACAACAAAATCAGAATTCACTGGCACACAAAAACAAAACTTGAGAAGTGATTGAGCGAGCTAGGAGAATGTATGTTTTGATGATTGGCACAGTAAGCAATTAACTTCAACTTACTTTCTCTGGATTATTGTCTAAGATAAGTAAAACTATTTTTAGTGAGCTGTGGAAATCCCATGAAGTTTAGGGGAACTCGAAATAGTGGACTGAAAAACGGAAATGTATCATTAGTTCGATACATGTACGCAGCTAGCTGGAGTTTCCACCACGATCTTCAAACAGAGCTTGATTTTGAGATGTCATTACTCACGCAATCGGCAAATTTAAACGATTCTGTCATCTAAAACAAAAACACATCCGCAGTCGGACCCAGCGAAGCACCTTGGGTGGTCAGACTAACAAGTACCCTGAAAGGCACTCCGGACCAGACGTTTTAATATTCGACTGTAGGTACAACATCACAAACAACACGGCAAACTCTACATCAACTGTTTGATCCGACATGAGCTGTTGGGCCGACAAACTTGTCTGACTTGCTTCGCTTCATGAAAAATGAACTCAACACAAAATAGATCACACCAATTGTGAACTCCCACAAAGATAATTTTATTCGTGGCCAATGATAAAAGTACAAAACTCAATTACATCACATTATGAATTTCAGTCAACGAATGAAAAATTATATGCACACGAGATAGCTAGTGCTCCATGTTCCAGTTATTTTTAGCGATTTCATCGTCTAACTGTTTGTTCCATTCTGGATGTGCTGCAGCATACTCATCAACCTTGTGTACAGAAAAACAAAGCGTTTAGATTGGCTACAAACCTCTTGTCCGGGCCTCTTGCTCCCTCATTTATACATGAGAGAAAAGGAAGACTATTGCATTAGTCAATCTCAGCAATGCCACAACCCCACCCCCTCCCTCAAGGATAACCTCCTGTTCAAGCGGTTCAAATGCCCAGTAGTACATTACAAAGTCAAGACAAAATTATTTATTCTTCCCCCAAAGTAATCAAGGGCAAACCAATTTATTTTGTGCTACTTTTCAAACGACTCCTTGACAAACTCGATCACGAGAAGTTAGTTGGAAAATGCTATGAAACAAAGGGCCCTTTCCACCGATCGAAAAATCATCAGATTGTGACTCAGTCAATTTAAAATAGTTGCTGATACATTACAATATAATTCAGAGAGGAAACTACATCAGCCTTAGATGGTTTCCATGCGGGTCCTCTATCCTGGTTGAATTGGAATTTAGAGATGTTGGTTTTTGTGGAGGGAGGTAAACCTTTGGAGCAACGCGAGAACCAACAACAAACTCGACCCACATATGGTACGGAGCCGGAATCCAACCCGGCCACATTGGTGGGAGGCGAGCGCTCTCACCACTGCGCCATCCCTGCTCCCCAATGATATGAAATTTAATGACATAAAATAACTAAGAAGTAATGTAGTAAATAGCACAATCGGTGTAATTTTGATTCTTTTGTGACATACATTTCCAGTGCCAAGATTGAAGAACACCGTTCCAGTGTTTCGAGAGATATTCTGTTTTAGTACATGCAGCAGGTTTTAATCTATTTAATTAAAAGTATGCTTACTGTCATTTCTTCGAAGGGTTTCAGTGACCTGATTTCCTGCAACTAAAGAGAAACAGATTTATTATCAGCAAATCATCGCACATTGTAGAAGAGTCACTGTCTTAGATGGTTAGTATGTCACGCCACACAACCTCTGCTTCCTCAATCTCTCTTGCTCGTTTGATTCTATCTTGATTTTTTTTTATGGCGGTTTTCTCATATTTTTTTTTTCCGCTGGAACTCTTTCAAAACAGACTGTGTATCATTTCCGTCTTGTGTGCTTGTTTTTACGCCACCAAAATGCACAAAAGTTGAACCCAACAGTTTGAGTCCCTTGATGCACATGACCTCAACAGCTTCAAGCTCCTCATCTTCAACTTTGCCTTTGGGATCTCCGCCAGTTTTGGTACCTGTGTTCTCTTCTGTTACATCAGGACATGCTCAAAATCAGCTGTCCATGTGCTTTACTTGCAGTGTATTGCTCACTCATTTGGTGTTCCCTCCCTCCCTCCCACTCAGGTAAGAATATCTTCCACACACTGTTTCTTCACGGTGCTGTGTTGACAGGTGCCTGGGGGTGGGCTGTGTCTGGGCTGTCATGGTGACTTCCTTGCTGCAGAGGAGATCTCTGCTCTCCCCTTCTGGTACCTTTAACTAAAATTAAAGAATCTACCCTCCAGTATTTCAATTGGCTCAGAGTTCAATTACAAAACCTTCTCTAGCTAGACAAGTCTAAATTTTTACTAGTTTGTGACTAATTAGCTACTGTATTTTCTAATATTCACAGCTGAACAGTTGTCACCACACAACAATATACAACATGTACGTGTTGTTTATGGAAAATCTTTTACATTACATACCTCAGCTTCATACTTTGCAATCTGTTCATTTGCTAACTTGACCACTTTTATTGAATGCTCTTCCTGTGAAGGTGAATTGTAAAAATATATGACATTATAGTTGAATTTACAGTGGTGAATGCACACTCCATTTATCATTTCAGTTAATGTTTTGAGCTCTTTTTAAGCAAAAACTATTCTTGTTTGTAGTTTGGGCAAGTGCTGACTGAGATGACAAGGCCAAATGATTGATTTTGATTGCTTTTTTATAATTTTATTTGCATTATTGCATAACCATTATTGCTTGTGTTTATGTTTATTTCAAGGTGGACTCTAAAAGTTTTAAATTCACTGGATAGAATGCTTGTATAGAGTTCAAATTCTGACAAATTCTGTTGTAAAAAGGAAAATGAATACCTCAAATCTACAGTTTCTACATCATTTTCAATTTTCCTAAGAATGCAGTTCTAATCAAACTGGAAAGCCTGTTGGTAACAGGTTAGCAGTGTATGTGGCCTACAAAGGCAGTGACTTTCCTAATAAAAACTACTTGTATTGTCGACAAGTTCAATGCTTTGTGTCCAGGAAGATAATCTTTTAACTTGTTGTTGTATTGATGGTTAGGCAGTAAATTCCTGAGTAGAAAATTATCCTTTTCTTGCTTCCTTTGTATCGAATAAATGACTTCATTGAAAACAAAAAGAAAGTGATAAAGAGTGTATTTTGATCAAGTTGTGAATTAATTTGACTGCTAGTACAAATCAAATCAGAACCATTCAGGATATTCCATGCAATCCCTTCATTTCTCAAGCATTTTATGTCAATTAACAAGTAACAAAAACTCTGTATTAAAGGACAGAATCTTGTTTCACACTATGGAGGAATTAAAGTAAATGGCATCAGCAGATGACATTAACAGCTTGTTGGCTCAGAGGTCTCTTGATAGAATAGGTACCCAGAGAAGGACAGCTGAAATTCAGCCCCAAGAGTCCTGTCGCCAATTAAGCATTTTCTTGAACTTCCAGAATTGAATTAGTACACTGGCTAGCAGCACCCTAAAACCAAGTCAGTCTCACCAGCCCCCACCCACCCCCCACTCTCCCCCCCAAAAAACTAGCATGACTAACATTTAAAATCAAATTAATACTCCAATAATTTTATCTCCTACAGAACTCCAGCCTGCAATTTGAATTTCCAAAAAAATTCAAATCTCGCAATTCAAATTCTTCCATTATGAGAGCTGTTGCACTTCCTTAACATATGTTTACTTGCAAAACTCACCAGTTCCTTCTCTTTCTCGTTTATCTTTGGTGTTTCAACATCTTTTGGGTAAGGTACAGTTACTGCTTCATACTGCAAATTAAACAAAAACTATTGATGTCAAATAAGACATAGCTTATTCAACAGAACCAGTTTATAAATGTGATTTACTGTTTTCAAATATGTGCTTATACAATGTCACCTTTACTCAGTAACACTCAGCAGATCAATGCATGGACCTATAATGTGAATGAGCACGTTGCTTTCTACATATGACAATAGCAAATTTGGTCTGGTATACTCTGTCTGGGGTAAAGAGGTTACGCCAAATTCACCAATGCTAGTAACCAGTGCTTATTCCTACTGCTCCTGAATACATACAAGTACGATGCCACTGGTTAAAGTGCCCATACCATAATTTTTTTAATTTTCTCACATGAACGTCTACATCAAAAATGGAAGTTCTTTTGACTTTGTTTATGATTTTTTAAAAATGCTCAAATTAGCTGACTGTCATTTTGGTACACCACTTGCACTAGTCTTCTCTCAGTTCTCTCAGTTGCAAAGGACTGGTGATATGGGTTAAGGAATATGTGACTCGCCCATGTCATAAAGTGAGCCCTTGCTTTCCTGATCAGCAGAAAAAGTGCACCAAATAAATGCAGGATCCATAAAATCATAAAAACATTCACGTTTAGTTCAAATAGATAAATGTTTTGGGAGAACTTCCTTTTTCAATGCAGACTTTCAAATGAGAAAATAATAAAAACTTACGGTATGGGTACTTTAATACTTCCTAGCTTTTGTTAGATGCAGTGTACACTATATCCTTATAACAAAATCTATTTATACTCCTGGGAGGAGAGGGGCATAGTATTTTGCTCAAGAATACAACATACTAAACCCAGCCCCAAGGGTAGATCCAGGATTTTTCTTAGGAGGGGTGCACCACAAAGGAATGGTGTAATTGACTGTTGAGGTAAACAAATTTTAAAAGCAAATACGACCTAATACAAAGAAGGCTTCATCTCAGGGGGGATGCACACCCCCTGCACCTTCTCCCTAGATCTACTCCTGCAGCCAGTACTCAAACCCAGATCACTCAATGTTGAATTCCACTCACTAAGCAGTAAGCCATGGTACTTTCCACTTTGATAGTTACCTTATTTCAAGTAGAAGATAGTATGCTTATCACTGGCTCTGATAACATGCTCTCTGTATCAAGGTAAAAACAATAGATAAATTGATGTTTCAACTTACAGCTTTCCTGAAAGCTTCAACCATTCCTGGTTTGGATATATTCTTGGCATAAAAGTCCCAGTTAATAGGTTCAGGTTTGGCTGAAATTGAATCCAAGCTAGGGAGAAAAAAGAAAGAAGAAGTTACATAATACAGCAGGGCTTTAAAGTATAAGTTGCATGCACAAGCTTCAGTGCTGTAGAAAATATTCAATTGTCACAGCCAGGCTTACAACTGTAGGGTGTGATTACAGCATGGTTCAAAGGCATTGCAGCACCCACATGCTTAAAATGTAGGTAGTATACAAGTAGAGTGCATGTAAGGTTGTGTAAAATTCACTGTTCTTGCAGTTACACGAATTTGCATGTAATTTCACACATATGCATGTATTTAATTGGAGGAACAAATCCTTTGTTATTCATACATGCATTTGCATGTATTTTGCTAAACAAAAAGCCACTACTAACTTGTATTTGAAACGGGCAACTTTCAGTGTTCACAACGAAAAGAAGTAAAATAAAAATAAGCCAATAAACACTGCATAAATTAGCCAACTTGCTCGAGTATCAATGAACAATAAATATCAAGCAAACATTCTTTCTTAATCTGTAGCAGCCCCCACTTCTGCTAAATTTAATTTTTTACTAGGGACTCTGAGCTTCAGTTATGTTGAAACTTGTGCGATGCTTATCACAACATAATGAGAGAGAATAAAGAGAGAGAAGAGAGAGTAAAGGGTGAGGCCTTTAAGGGAAGTCCCCCTTATAGCCCTAATTGTCAAGGTAGTCCCTCTCCTAAGCCCAGTTCTCCCATGGATAGCATTACAGTTCACCATACAATCACGATGTGAGAACATGGAGATTGAAAATGCAATAAAGTTGCTTGGGCTGTGCATGTGAGCAAAATCTTCCAAGGCTGCGACTGTGTTCTAAGAAAATTTTCAGGGAGCCCTACAGGCTCTCAACCATTGCAGCTAGGCTTCCCAGCCCAACAGGTTGCTCACCCAAAACAATTAATTCATTGCTAATTCATCTACTGCAAGACCCACGTGGACATTACATTCCATGCTACAAATGCTTTTTGTTTTTCCTATTTTCTTTCATGGACTTTTCTTTATCTGACAGTCCAGGATTTCATACGATATCCCAGGATCTTGACCCATCTCTTAATAATTTTCTTTAGCAACCTATGCGACTCCCATTAACAAAAATTAATGAAAATAAGTGATAATTACTGAATGTTTTGATTACTGTCAAGGTGATTGTGGAAAGTAAGTCTTGTTTATGAAGTCCACAAAAATATTTACTTGCATTAAGAAAGGAAAATTACATTTTTGTGTTTAAATACTTTCCCACAGGTGGAGTCTGATTGCACATTAAGACTTGTTTTTAGATGTCTTACAAATAACATCTTGTGCACCAAACAATCACATTTATTCTTACATTTCTTTAGGATGAAAAACTGCTTAATAAGAACCTCAGGGACATGAGATGATGAACACTGTTTGTGGCCCTTGACAAATTTAGCCACCTTCATAAACAGGACTTGCAGGATATTTTCAAAATCACCTTGACAATGGTGTCACAATGACACCGAAACATACTAGGTTCTTATTGCTTATTTTCACTTGTTTACGTACTTCTAAATCTTTACTGATAGGAAAAGGTCATCTAGTTTGATGAAGAGTTCAACTTATTGCACCTGTTTATTTGTGGAGAGTTTAAACTTCTCAGAAAGTCAGTGAAAGCATTGATAGGACCTTTAAATAAAAAATGTGTTTCTATTCATGTAACTGGCAGATAGAACAATCACAGTTTTATATTGAGTGCGTGCGAGTTAACAGAACTCTATGGTGGCCCACAACCGTCACCGCAAAATAAAATTTGTCACGGCAAATTAAAATTCATTATGGCAATTGAAATAAAATTCAAAACAAATTCAAATTACTTCCGGGAAACTACAAACACTCAGGACAAAAACAAAAACAATAATTGTCTTACTGTATTTACCCCCGGATAGGCTGCACTTTTTTAACAGAAAAATGGGATCAAAATTAGGGTTGTGGCTTAAACACGGGTACAAGCGTTTGACACTTCATTAATATGCACAAGATCTTAATGTGGTACACTAAATTGGTGNGTATGTGAGAAGATTTGATCCCGATAGAGTTCAGAACAGCCATATTTATTCTTCTATAAAAGAGGAGGAAATACTCATATATTGGGTTTACTTCAACATTTTCTGTGGGTTAGGCTGAGGATTTTAGTTCTGAACGAGATGAGCCTCGAGGTTGGAAACAGTTCGTGAGTTAGTAGTACGCAAATGGCATGAGGTATTTTCATTTTTAGTTACAAAGGTAACTTTATACTTTTGTTTTTCACAAGGGGTAAATTCAATTAGAGGTCACGAAACGTCACTTCTAGTTCTTAGGACATGTTTTAGAGGAGACAAGACTATTTAGATTTGAAAGAGTTCTAACGTTTACAATGGTAAGTGCAGGTAACGATTGTTTTGTTCTTGTTGCATGCAAATATAACGAGATATTTTTATTTTTTAGCTACAAAGGGTAATTTGACACCCTTGTTTTTCACAAGGGATTAAATTCAATTAGAGCTGACAAATCGTCACCACTCTTTCCCACGAGATGCTTGCTATCTTTAGTTACAAATGGTAACTTAACACTTTTGTTTTTATATGGGAGTAAATTCAATTAGAGCTGACAAGTTATCAGCTATTGTTTCCAGGATATTAAACACAAAAGAAGCTTTCATTTCTGGATGGTTTTTATGTCTGTGCAGTAGCAGTTTAATAGTTTTATTTGACGACATTCATTTCAGTCCGATATTTTTAAAGGCAAAAAGTATGAAAACTGTTCAAATGTTCTTTGAAGACTGCGTGGCACCAAGTTAAAGTGCAATTTAATTAACTAAGACTTTCAACGTGTCAGAGAGGTTTTTTTCTCTTTCTTTCCATTTTCGGTGACGTAGTGTTGTGTTGTGTAAAAAGGGTAAACTTACAACTCATATAAAATGCGAAAAGGTCTCTTATTTAACTTGAGTATTTTTGAGCAAAATTCCTCTTGGGGGTTGGAAGGGCTATGTGATCGGTGAGTGAGGTAGTTATGCATGTGCACGTGTCACACCAATCAGTGTGGGTTGTATCAAAGAACGAATCAAATTGCCTGTTACAAAATAAGATGGTATCTACATTAATCTGGAGACATGTCAGATTACTGTAGTTTGTTCAGTCATACATTTTATGGCTTACTATTTAGCTATCTTACCATGACCGATGTAACATCGCATGTACATCATAAATTCCTAGTTTCTTTCTTGCTCTACATCGTAACCAAAAAACTTGTCAAATTAACCAAATATTATTGTACACAGCTCCATGAATGCTCGTATCTCTGACACTTCACACAAAAAAATAACTCTTGCATGCCTTGCGTGCCTATGTTCTTTCTAGTGATGGCCTATTCACTTGTAGTACTTAACTCCCAATACTGATGCTTTGTAAAGCGCATTAGATCATATATGTTAATGAATTTTGTGCTATATAAGTAATAAAATTGTTCTTATTCTTATTATAAACTAGCACTCTAACTGAATGGAATAAAAGTAAATCTAAGCCCAAACAAGTACGCTCTGCTCTCTGTGAGTAAGTCCGTCTGTTACACTAATGTAACCTTATTCATTGAATAGTTTCCAAAGCCAATCAGAGTGCGTTCATATGCGCATAATCCTTGGATACTGTTCGTGGCCAATCAGAGCATCAACGATCCCAGTTACAGAATTTTGCAAAAGTAATGCAAGTGAAATGCACGAATTTTGTTCTTTGTTCCCATGATTTTTCACTGAAAGTTCGCTCGAAATTTCCCGGCCTGTCGAGCAATAATTTGCTATAACAAATGACGATATTTCTTTGAATTTTTGATAAGTTAACGAAAAATCGCGAGCAGTAACAATAATTCACCAGCCTATACACGAAATTTCGCAAGGCGTTTAACTGCAGTTCACCAGCGTTCACACAATTTTCACAACTTTTGGCAACTGATCAATGTACTGACGAAAAAACTGTCATGTAACTTACACAAGATAAATTTGGATTCATAAACATTTGTTTGTAAATTCATGCCGGAGAACACGGTATGCAGTCATCGATCGCCATAAGGATAACATACAGTCACATGCCTAAAATTTGCGAAAGGTTTTCAAGCAGGTTCATTCTCTTGAGTTCAGTTTCATATGCAGAGAATTAGAAAGTACTTACCATATTATGAAGAAAAGCGAGCTCTGCTTTTTCCACAAACAAAACAAAAACATCTCCAGTTCTGGGTATTAAGCCACTAAAGCAAACAGCCACAGACAACTTGTGAGAAACTTTCAATCAAAACACACCTTTCTTTAGCTGGATACACCACGCATTTCAATTGACAATTCCTGTGTTTTGCAAAGGGGCAGCAATATATGCCATTCACCAATACAGAATAAACTTCAAAAATCAAGGGTTATCGAAGCCTCCTTTGAACATAAAAGTTTTCAGGTTCTTTACTTCTATTTAATGTGGCTAAATATCATTTAGGCAAGGTTAAACTCGAGCTAATGCAGCCAGCTAGTGTGCCCATCCAGCTAATATCATTTAGGCAAGTTAAATATGAGCTTATGCAGCCAGTGGTTTCCCTGTTTGGGAGTACGTGACCTGTGGGGCGGCCTTCAGGTGTTTTGCAGGGGTTTATGCTTCATTGCATAATTGTTGTAGTGTATTCTGCAGATTGTTGCGGATCAGTTGCACTGCTTTGCTCACGAATCATTGTGGATTCTTGCACCCTCTCCTCCCTCCCGTTTTGTTCTTGGTCAGGGTAAGTATTCTTCAGGTAAGTAGTTTCCACTGAATTTCTTTCAGTGTGATGGTGCCGGTTAGCGGACACTCATTGGGTGGTTGCTGCTTTCCAGGGTTGCCATGGATACCTCCTAGCGGCTTATGGCTTTGGTACCCCGCTAACCTTTAAGGCACCAGTTCCCAAGCTCATCTTTTTGTGATGAGTTTAAACAAATAGACTCCATGTTGCCCTGCATCTGTTCAGTAATAGATCACAGATGACGGCAAAATGTGGTA